AATAGTTAAAGGAAAAGTTAAATAAAGATAGTGTTTTTTCATCCTTTTACTGTCCGATACCACCTCCGAGACAAAAGGAAGAGGTATGCGGCTGTTAAATTTTATTTTTTTAATTAATAAAAGTTTTATTTAGAAGATATCCAATTATTTGACTTTAAATTACTTAATTATTAATTAACCTTAAATAATATATATATTTATATATACTCTTAATAAAATAAACTGTAATTCTTAAATTTTTATCAAAAAACAAAACTTTTGCTGTTTACAAATACTCACGTATTACCACGCGAAGCAATGCTAAATAAGTTTTGTTTTTTTTTGTTTGAAATTATATTTTATATTATAATAATATGTAAATGTCAATTATTGTAGTTTAAAGTAAATATTCTCTAAATAAAAATTTTTATAATTAATAAAATTTGATTTTATTTAATTTTTTTTTGGGATATTTGCGCGCGCAATTACCCTATTCTTCTCTACATTAAAATTATATATTCTTTAAATAATATGTATTCTAGGATTATGTATTATAGTGATTAGCGTTTACGTCAGACCATCACTGAATGAGAGGTTATCATTAATCTAATATACTACAATAGTATCGTTCGCGTTTATTCAGTGTATTCGAAATTCTCTTAAATATGTAGAATTTTTCCATTATTGAAAGTTGGATTCGTTGTAGTTATAAAAATAGATTAATATACGAGTACATATTAATTTAGTTTATTTGATGAACACAAATTACGTTTGCGTTGTGTTCAAAGATGAGGCTGAGTAATATAGGGCGCTTTTCAGCAACAAAAGATAGTCATATATTGTGCGCAGGGCGACACAGTAATACACTTTGTTGACTTGTAGCTAAAATGTTGTTTAGCTTTTTTATTTCACCGCCAAAAAAAAGGTTTCGTAACATCTATGTCCGAATCTCGATCCGAATAGAATCTTAAAACTTCTTATTACAGTATCATTTCTAAATAAATAAATGGTAATATAATATAAAAATTTGGTATTATTGAAATGATATAAAACGAAATGACAAGCATTTTAACATTTATATTGAAAAGCACAGATTTGTACACTGTGTTACATAGAATGTACAAGCCGCCTGTGTACTTTGCTGGAAAGCGGGAAAAGTAAAAAATTCTTAGTAATATAATTTAATAATAAAATATTTTAGTAATTTCTTAGATGTTCAGTATTAATATATAGTATTATAAACAATAAAAATGCTTACATAAATTTAGCCGAATTTAGTCGAAATCTAATATTAAAATTACACTCTCGGTACACATATTTTAAAATTTGTAAAGATTTTTAATTTAATAAAATTTCTACAACCTCCAAAGTTACTCCTTTTTGGAATAAATTTTTCACTCCAATTATTGAATAGATTTTCCATTTCCACTAGTAAAATTCATCGGCAATAGTATTAACTCAATTGCTACTTATACGCTTGAAATAAAATTTTAATTCAATGTAGTGAAATTGCTACAAATTTAGAATGAACATTATGTGATTTGAATATTTTATGCTAAATTAGTGTTTAACACTTCTTTTACCGTTAAAATAATATTTTATAAGTACATGCATAAAGAATACAGAAATAATGTATTTACAAAATGTAAATTCTAAGATAAATGACGCAATTGTGCAATATTTAAAAGAAAAAAACATTTAACTTAACAAGCATATTATTATTTACATTTATCTTTACTTTCAGATAGAAAACGAAATTAGACAATTTTTTTATTCATTTATTTATTATTACGTAAAAAAGCAATATGTGCTATTTTTTTTTAGTTTTTAAGCAATATAATATGGAAGAAGATCATGGTCTAGTATTCATAAGTAATTCTCATAATTTAAGATTGCCTAAGTACAGACTTAAGCAGTATTAAAGTAATTATAACAAAGTACTAATATCTTATAATGTTACTTATGAATACTAGCCAAGGATTAAGTACAAATGCACGAGAAGCTCGCGTCGACTTTGAGAGCCACATAGATCAGAGCGTTTACTCATTAACTTCAACCTATTCTTCTGCAAAAACTATTTGTGAGACGCAATTTTGCAAAAGGAAAAAATAGTTTCTTTTAAATAAAGTATCACATTTTGTACTTCGCGGGCGCGAATTTTGAAACATCCTGTATATGTATAAGTTGGCGTGCTGCGCGCATCTGAGCTCGCTCTATTGTCAGAAGTGCTTGAAATTTAAAACTATTATTAATGTTTTATGAAGACAAGATTTCATGTCTTTTTAAGAATCTTGAAATTTCTTTATTTTTTATCTATACATATTTCAATTTGTTTTTTTAAATTCGGAATAAAAACTGATTTATATTTTAAAATTACATATCACTTCTGTTATATTGTACAAATTATTATTTACATTAATTATACGTAATAATAAAGTAACAATATGAAACATGGTATATTCTTTTCTTTATATTTGATTTTTAATTTTGTTATTTTGTAAGAAAATTGTTAATTATTTTTTCTAATTTTGGCGCTGTTATGTCACTAGAGCTGTGTCACTATCACGATGGATTCATCACAATATCTATTGCGTGTTGGTATGACTTAATCACTATTAAAGGAGGCAACGCCAAAAAGTAGTGCAGGCACGTCTCTTGTGGTGGTTGTAAAATTGTGAAAATTACTGTATCGCGCTACTGCTAATGTGGAACTGTGACAACTTCACATTGAATTCGACAGCCGTCTATACATGGGTTTGAGTTGCACTAGAGTCGTCGCAAACGCAAATTTTTTTCCATACAAGTAGGCGGGGATGGACCTCGTTTTGTGTAGAAAGTCGAACGTCCCTTGGCAGGGGAGGATGTAAAGTAGATCACATGTTTTGTAAGTGAAGAAGGTTCTGTTAGCGTACAATGCGATAGAACATATCCACTCACATTGGCCGATGCCTAGTAACTTTTTACTGCTTGACCAATATTTTATTTGAAATTGGCTAATTAGTTACTTGGAACTATAGGTAAGAGTGGATAAGAGAAGTTGTTACGTCCAGTAGGGAAGAAGTTATATTTATTATTGTATATAAGAAAAATGAAACGTTACTTTTTTAAACTTTTTTTTGTCGATAACTTTTTAATGACCAGTGATGGCCGCCTAAAACTTTTTGAAAGTCACTCAAAATCAAGACAACATATGTCAAGATCAAGATAATTAGCATGGTGTTCTCTAATTCCAATAATTACCACTTTTGTAATATTACTAAAAGCAATAAAACACAAAAAATTTCAAAAACAATAAAAATTTTATTGGACATACATGTGAATATACAATAGGAAACAGCCAATAGGAAAATTCATAATGATAGAAGCTATAGATCTTTAGTGTGTTTAAAGGGTTATATCTGAGTGAACGCCTGAAAACAGAGTAATTTTGGGAATTTTTGTAGTTAAATAATAAAATTAATGCAAATTCAGTTTAAATATCTTTAATGTGTATATCGTAAGCTAAACAAAACAATTTTTGTTTTGTTTTTTTACGTCAAGATGATAACGCTGGAGCTCTACAAGTCAGACTGCTTCTTTCTCCGCTGCTTGCAGCATATAACTTTAACAATTTTTTTCCGATTCAGTTGAAATCTTTACAGTATCTGCTAAATTAAATTTAGCTTAAACTAAACTTAAACTAAACTTTTTTAGAGAAGTATACATGATTTTTACGTTCGGTTTTTTTGTTATAAATGCTTTTTTACTGAATTATTTGGATGAAAATTAAATTTTATTTTTAAATGTTCATTCTACAAAAATCAATACTTTAACATATATGTGTGTGTTTCTCTAAAAATTTAATGTGTGTGTGTGTAGATTATAAGAAAATTTTACTTAATAAAAGTATAATATATAGTACTTCTGTTGCAAACCTCGGAAGTCCATGGAAAAAAGCACTTGTAGAGCTTCTGCGCCTCCATCTTGACGCAAAAAAATTAAACAAAAATTGTTTTGTATAGATATGCACATTAAAGGCCTTCGAATTTGCACTTATTTTATTATTTAACTATAAAATTGCCAAGATTATCCTTCAGGCGTTTACTCGGATATAATCCCTTAAATATAACAAATTATGAATATCGATCAAAGGCTGCAGATTAAAGTATTGAACAGGCGAAAATTATATCATAAATGAGTTCAAATTATTATATAAAAAGTAACGACAGAAGTAATTATAAAATTTGTACCGTTACACCATTACGAAAAAATGTAACTCCGTTACCGTTATATTATACAAAAAAAGTAACGCCATTATCAGAGCCTATATTCTGTACACGACTATCGACAGTTGTCGGTATTGTAATGTAGCGATAGCCAAGTGAGAATCGCGCTTTTTTTCTAGGATAGTTCTTGCTATTGGCTATCGTTAGTTATCGACACCGACAACTGTCAGTATAGAGCTTAGGTCATTATTAAAAAAGAGAGAGAGAGAGAGAGAGAGAGAGAGAGAGAGAGAGAGAGAGAGAGAGAGAGAGAGAGAGAGTGTAACTTGTAACGGTAAGCCCATCACACAAAATTACATAAGCTACATAACCATATAAGGCTGTCTATGTATACCAATCAGCATCTACGTAAATCAACATCGCAGTTTTATATTGGATGCTTATTGGTTTAGCATAAGCTGCATAACCTTATGGTTATGCAACTTATGTAATTTTGTGTGGATGGCCTTTACAAATAATTAGTTCCTTTCATTGATATTTATCTTGTATTAAATTAGTACAAAAATGGATAAATTGGATAAAAATGCATAGTTTAATATAAATGAAACACCTTAAATTTAACATAAATTTTCAATTATGTACTAATTACTTCATGAGAATTGACATATTGATAGGCAAAAATCCATAAACTAGTCGAATAAGCTAGGAAAGAAACATTCAGTTCTTGAAACATTTTGTATGCGAAATCTAGCATTAAGATGCGGTATGCGCAACGTATATTGAAGGAATGATAAGGATGCTTTTTGATGGTTGCAGAATCCCTGGTATGCGTAGTACGGGCGTAGGGCTCGTTCCAGGACTAGTGAAGGGATCAAAGGAGGGTCGTCTGACCGCTCTTGAGCGGTTCGAGGGCCGGTGAACACGAAAGGGCGAGCAACCACCTTGCCGACGACCAGCAACCCTCCCGTCCGTCACTGTCGACGAACAACAGAACAGGTTCGTATATATTTCTTGTAATAGAATTGTGTATAACTTATTATTAATTGTATTGTATTTATCTCAGAACTTGTTTTGCTGATGTAAGCATTAGAGATTAGCATTTTTTATCTTTAAAATGTTTTTATACAATTAAAAATGCAATCTAAAACAAATTATTTTCGCACTTTTGTAGGAATAAATTAATTTTAATATATCAATAACAGCGAGCGTTTACTCAACTGTTAAGTTAGCTGAACGCAGTTACTGAATAATAATGTCTATATTGTTACTTTTTATTTAATTATGTATATATTATTGTATGTAATTTCTTTAAATATTTACATTATTTTTATTGCTGAAACTGCAGTTTTTTATCTTTCACACATTCAAAAAATCAATCGTGACATTTGTAAAAAGGTTATACTAAAAAAAAATATAAGTGAAAATATTTTAGAAAAGATATTTAGATATATATTATGGATATCTAGATATAGTTCTTTGGTTTTTGTTTTACAAACTTTAAATATGCATCCTAAAATATTGGAATATTGAGTTTTGGAATGCTCTATATGTAAGATATATGTATATGCTTTTTATGTTCTGTATGTAAGATGCGTTATAAATGAAACAGGATAATTTTTAAGAAACGCAAGGAAAGAATTGACTCATTAATTATTACATAAAGGGTGTGAATTATGACATCGACCTGCATATGTAGCCAACATTTCACATGGCTTTGATGGTAGATCAATCATCCCTTGTGAATGGATATTTGCGTTGGAAATCGTAGAAAGAGTGTAAAAAAGTATCGAAAACTTGAAAGAAAACGAAGAAGGGCTTATCTCGATGCATAAAAAAGAATGTAGGGTTCTATGTTTTGAATAGAGAGAATCTGATTGCTCGGTTAAATGCGTTGTAAACAGAGTTATTTGTCATCAGAGGAGTTGTCGTATCTTCCATCCATAGTAAGTTCTGAGGGTGGTCTTAAGCAAGAAATCATTTAAAAACAATTAAATTGATATTATATTGAATATAATAATGCTTATTAAGGCTCGTGTGTGGTCACCACAGCTATATTGAATTGTGATGTTAGAAGCGAAAAATGACACGTTAATTTTTGTTACATTGTCATTTGTAAATAAAGACAATTTGGACAAAACGACATGATGAGATTGCTTTAAAACAATTGTAAAAATGAACGAAAGTTCTTATTCCCCTTCCCCTCCCCCGACAGTCAGTAAGTAACTGTAAAAAGTGATAAAAGGCATGTGCAATGCTCTTTCTCAATGCTAATGTTTAGCTTATTTTCACTTCGCGAACGTTTTTCGACTACTTACTGACTGTTGGAGGGATAAAGATAGCTTTCGTTCATTTTTACAATTGTTTTAAAGCGATCTCATTATTTCGTTTTATTCATTGTCTATATTTTTCTTCTGGTGTCATAATTAAATATGTAGTGACGATTTAGGAGCCTTAAGATCTCATTTCAAAGGAGAAATTATTTTAATAATTCTTTTTTACAAAATAAGAACTTTTATTTAAGCCGATAATCTATGATTCCTGTTTTCTTTTATAATGTCTTTTTTTCAATAAAATATATATAGTCGCCGAAATGAATTTAGTATACATTTCCTTATCTCTTTGTCAGTAACGATTGAACCGATTGGATTTTAACTAGTCTTAAACTGGATCGCTAGGATAAATTGTATAAGAAGTTTTTTTTAGTTTCCTAGAGTTATCCATAGAACGCGCATTCGTACTTTTCTAATCATTTCGTTTTCCTTATACAGAATAAAAAATGCTGTACAATAAAAGATCCTAGAATCGTCTATATTACCAACTAAAATATATAATTTTTGTCTAACAATTAGTTTTTCTTTTTTACTGATTTGAAAATTCTTTTTCAGGATTAAAATATACACATTAATACGTGTCTGTGAGGTGGTGGAGTTTATGTCGAGAATGATACAAAATTTCAAAATCAAGATCTTTACCCTTTTTTAATCCAATATGGTGCTCCAGAGCTGTTACGTTGTGACAACATTTACTTCATATAAAAGCTGTGCAATTTGCACACAGTAAAAAATTTTGTGTTAAATTTAACATATTTCACATGTTCCAAACGTTCCACCCAAATTTTTTTGTGTTAATTTAACATAAGATGAATAGAATTAGAAAGTAACACAAATATTATGTAAAAAATTAATACAAGAAACGTAGTATTTTGACACAATTTAAAAGCAAATTTTATGTTAAATTGGCACATTTATAATGTTAAATGCATCTTAAATTAAATGCTATTTAAATTTAAAAAAAATGCTATTTAATTTAAGCGATGCCTCTGTGATATTTAACATATGCAATATACAGATTTAATAGAAATTTACTGTTATAAAGAGAAAATAACACACAATATCTGTTTTTTACATATAAAATATGTAACTATATGTACATATTTCTTCAGTAAAATTAATATTTATAATACAATATATTAAATTAACACGTTTATTTTATTCATTTATTCTTAGAATTTTTTTAAAACTATATTATTTTTGTTATTTATTTATTTATCTATAAATTGTGTGTTATTTTAACACTGAGAAATGTTAAATTTTAATTTAACACAAAATATTCAAATAACATAATTACGTTATATTAAATTAACACTAGAATATGTTAAAAATTTAACACAAAAAACAAGGATTTGTTTTAACATAAATACAAAATATTTTTTATCGTGTACTTACAAAATAGTAGTCCACAAACTAATAGTTTGCACAAAGAAATAACGTAAAGTTCTTAATTAAACTTAGATGTCTAAAATATTATTGTTATACGAAAATTTAGGTGTACATATCAATAACACATAAATTGCATGTATGTAGGTGCTATTTACGATACACAGTAAAAAACATTTTGTATTTGTGTTAGAAACGGTCTATTCAAATCCTTGTGAAAATTTTGTGTTGAATTTTTGACATATTCCAGTTTTAATTTAACATAATATGATTTTGTTATTTGAATATTTTGTGTTAAATTAAAATTTAATATTTCTCAGTGTTAAAATAATTTATAGATAAGTAAACAAATAACATAAAAATAATGTAGTAAAAAAAAACACAAATTCTAAGAATAAATAAATAAAATGTGTGTGTTGATTTGATATATTATAAATGTTAATTTTATTAAAGAAATATGTTCTGTATAACTAGTTACATATTTTATATGTAAAAAGGTATAGGTATTTTGTATTATTTTCTCTTTGTAACAGTAAATATTTGTTAAATCTATATGTTGCATATGTTAAGTATTACAGAAACATTGTCTAAACTAAAAATAAAAAAATAGCATCTAATTTCAACTAAATTTTATTATAAATTTGTCAATTTAACATAAAATTTGTTTTTAAATTGTATCAAAGTATTATGTTAATTTTACATAATATTTGTATTACTTTCTAACATATTCATCTTAAATTAACACAAAAATTTGAGTGAACCATTTGGGACATGTGAAATGTGTTAAATTTGGCATAAATTTTTTTATTGCGAGGAAAGACTAATCGTCTTTAGGATCCCTTTAATAAAGATATTGCAACGTTAAGTTCAAATAAGTAAATCTTAAGAAACATTCATGTCGCCGTCATCGTTATCAGACAAATTTATGTAGTTTCCTATTTTTTACACCAGAGCATCAATTATAAAATTAACAACGCTCATCTGCTCTTTGACAGGTTTCTTTAATCTTTTGACAAGTCTTTTGAAAAGTTAATATTTTTAAAGTTATAAAGTTATAAAGTAGATATAATTTTGTATATTTCTTGCTTTTGAAAGAACAATCTGTTCTGTAAGTACATTTTATACATAGTCCTTTGTTGTTTAAAATTAGAATAATAATTTATTTTGTAATGCATAACTGAGGTCTACATATTTTGTCATTGATTGAAACAGATTCACTTAAATGAATAATATACTTTGTAACCTTTAATATTAATGATCTAAAGGTGCTAAAGTTACTTAGATTTTTAAATAAAAAATTGTTAAGATATAACTGATTTTTATTTTAGATAGAACGTATGTCATTTCATATAATGGCATTTGTGAAAGTGTCAGTAAATTCAAAATTATTTTTATTTTTTTTATAGAGTACTGGAAGAAGCTTCAAATATAATTTTTTTTTTAATATATAATCGCCGCCTGAACCGTAGAAGATGCTATATCGAAAAAAATATAAAGAAAGGTCTATGTCAAGAAATGAATGAAAAGTGGTTTATTTCGCGTAAGGCGTGAAGACCGGTCTATGTCGGAACGCAAACGAAGTATGGTTTATATTGAGAAAGTAAAAACTTAGAACATACATACATGTATGTTCTGCCAGAAGTAAGAGTAAGAAGAATGATTCAAGTCGCATGAAATTAAAGAAAGGTCTATATATCGAAATATTTACTATTCTATAAATTACACAACATTTATTAAATTACACAAATTTAATAAATGAAAGTTAGAAATAGGATTGAAAATCAAAACAATTCCCGTTCTGAGTCATACCACTTTAATTTATGAGAAGAAAATATATTACGTTATATAACGTCTTGTTTAATTCTATGCGATTGAACCCATTCTTCTCGCTCTCTCGATATAAATCGTACTTCGTATGCGTTCCGACATACACTGATCTTCATGCCTTATGCGAAATAGACCGCTTTTCATTAATTTTTTGACAAAGATTTTTCTTCATATGTTTCTCGATATAGCATCTTCTATGGCTCAGGATTGATACACTTGTTAATGTTACTAAAAGAAGATGAATCTGTATAAAATAACCGGGGAAAAAAGTAAAAGAATGCTCACATAAAATATGCGCACAACTCTCATACAAAAGCTTTGCCATCAAAAACTAGTATTAATTTCTAATTGTTAATGAAATTAAATATAACTATTATATTTTGTATATTTACCAATAAAAAAATATAATGCGTATAAAATAATAATATTTCGTTAAATTATTATTTTTTATAT